CTATTATGACTTGGCCGACTTCGGCCTGGTAATTGGTTGCCTGTTCGTGACCTTTGCCACACATACGGAGCTTGTTTGCTTTGTGAAGCCAATAGATCGGTGTGCGCCCATTCCTGATTGATATATATATATATATATATTGTGGTAGGGGGCGCTCACCGATCGTTCATACGGAACTCACTCGTTCCGTTGTGCCTTATGGACTCTCTCTCGAGCCCAACCAGCAGCCGCACAGCGGCGCATGATACATAGGCAGAATAGTATTACCGATCTATTGGCTTCACAAAGCAAACAAGCTCCGTATGTGTGGCAAAGGTCACGAACAGGCAACCAATTACCAGGCCCGAAACAGTACTGTATCAATCTACCCGCATTCTCTGTCGTCCCAATGCGGGTAGATTGATACAGCACTGTTTCGGGCTTATTCTGCCTTCATTCAGCCAATCATAACCCTGACTACCAGCAGCTGGGACCAGAAACACAAACATGCGCACAGACGCAGCTGGCGCAGTTGATCCACCAATGGGGTCTACCAGATGGGTCATAAGCACTTCATCGAACCGAAGTTTATCAGTGCCTCGCCACCTGTCATTCTCTGTCGCTACAGATCGGGTATTTATCAATCAGGAATGGGCGCACACCGATCTATTGGCTTCACGATGCAAACAAGCTCCGTATGTGTGGCAAAGGTCACGAACAGGCAACCAATTACCAGGCCCGAAACAGTACTGTATCAATCTACCCGCATTCTCTGTCGTCCCTCCTTGCTGCTCTTATGACTTAGCCGACTTCGGCCTGGTAATTGGTTGCCTGTTCGTGACCTTTGCCACACATACGGTAGTAGTAGAAGTAGATGAGAAGATACCTGCACAGACAAGGGAGACTGGAATGGCCATTTGTGGCTTATTAGCTGTCGTCAGTTAGTCATACCCAATCCCGAAGTGTGGAATATCTGGTGCTTGATCCAGCGACCTGTTGGCTAGAAGTCCAACGCTCCTTACAGTGACTACCGATCTGCCTAAGTTCACCAGTATATTTCACCGTCTTATATTTCTATCACATCATTATATCAAGCGGAACGATGGTGCAGGGGAGAACAGCATAGTCCGCATAAGTTTCTTTTGACTGACGCCGATGATATACCTGACTAGACGTAAATGACGCTGTCTTAATGTTTATTCGGAGACACATGAACTATTCTTCAATTACACCTACTTTAGACATATTACGCACGTTAGCTGGCGCGACTGAGTCACCAGTAGGGATATTATTTGATGGGAATTTTGTAAACTAATTGGTCAACAACCTACTTTAGTAACATGGCCCTGCAAAAAATACTTGTTCCATCGGGCAAGATTTTTGCAGATGAGAAATCAGACATCCTCCTGCACTCAAACTCATCTTACCTAATTTAGTAACGTGGATGATGGTTTTTTCCTCAAACTTCATTCATTCTGATCGCCTTTGTTGCACTGACTTAGTTTGGACAAGTCCAAGATTTCACCCGCATCCTCTTTTCTCTCCCCAGACTTTTCGCTGCCGGTTCTGCAATGGGCAAATGCGCACGCGCACACGCTTATCAAAGCGTCTTCCAGAAACGTAGGTTCTTCCCTCTTACCGGATGCATTTGTTGCAGAAAATCACAGCCAAACCTTGCGACCTCCGTTAACCCATTTGATGTCGTCAGTCCAGCCACTCCCATGTAAGCCGCCTTATCCTGTTTTGTCATTTCGTAATTTATAGTGCCGCAGCTAAGGGAGGGGGTTTACGCAACCCGACCGGCTGCAGCAGTGGCAGTGGTAAAAAAGCCAGGCGACAACAGAAACTGTGCAAGGAATTGAAACTTCGACCCAGCGGTGGAAAGGAGTCGCGTAACTCCTTCGAAGACTTCCTTAATCTGCTCTCCTGATGTGTATAAAAAATACATTGACTTCCTGCTATCTGCATATGCCTTTCTTTTTTCTCCCCTGTCTGTTCTCTGCCACTCCGATGTCTGTGCTCCCCTAGGAGAAGCAACAACTTCGACGGCACATGAAGAGGTTGTTGCTTGGCATTGAGCCTGCGCTTCGCCTGCGTAAGTCATCCGAACTTCTGAAACAGGTACATATAAGCGATTACGTTGACTCTCCCACCGGTCGCGGACACTAAGCCATGTTGTCAGTCCCTTTTTCTACTTTCCAACAGCTGCAGTCCTCTGAGGTTTACCAGAGGTCGCGGTGCCTCTGCATCTATCTCAGCCTGTCAGATGAACCCTGCACCGAGGCCATAATCGAATCCGCCCTAGCATCGGGAAGGCGCGTCTGCGTCCCACGGTTGCTGCCGCCTGACGTTGCGCATGAAAGGTTTCCACTCACGCGGCACCTTGGTTACATGCGGATGCGTGCGATACGCAACCTGAGTGACTGGACCGACTGGCCGCGGAACAAGTTTGGTATTCGAGAACCACCATCACCTCACTCAGACGTGGATCTCGATGACGCCCTTTCATACAGTGAGCATATTTTCGGAGATTTTGTGCCTTTATCTTCACCACTCATCCTTTATCAGGGTGCCACCATTGGTCAATCCTTCATTAGATTAAGACCTACTTGCTGGTAGGAGGGCTTTTTTCTGCTCTGTCCTTCACACGTTTAGAAATCTCTTCTACCCCCGCCACACTACCGGCCGTAACCGTTTTCTGGATTGAGTGAATTCCGTTGGCCTTCGTATAGTGTGGCGTCCGTATTCTCATCGGTGGCCGTTGCGGGGTCGCTTATGACGCTTCTGAAAGCTGTTGACCAGTTACGGAACAGATGATTTCACAAGGCCTTGTGGTTTTTACCCTCTCCCTGTGGATCAGTCTTGGTGAATCGTTCGTCTGCATCCAAAAGACGGAAACTCCCTTGATGTCGCGCACATCACGACTCTTCTCCCATGTCATGTGTGTTTCACCCACTCATCTGCCCGGTAGTTGTCGCAATTCAATCCCACTATGTGATTTACCGATGGTACCGATGCACATGACAGTTTAATTCCGTCTGTTTCCTATGCTTGAACCGAGACTGCTTAATCGCTCAGATTTGTTTGGGCCTTCAAAACGGGCCGCGCTCTATCACCAGAACCAAACACCGCCCACAGACGCGGAGGAGAAAGCGCAAAGTCGGTCCAGCTCAGATTCAGAGCTTAAGTCCTAACTAATTAATCTGATGGGCCTTGAAATGCCAAGGTGCTGTTTGAATTAGTACTTGGAAGGTTGCTAACTGGCAAAGTAGCTATGACCTCCTGGGGACTATGGGTCAGAGTTCAGCAGTTAACTGTTGGCTATTATGGCTTTTCTCGTCGATTTAAGACCTTGAAAGCCTGGTTCAGGTGTGTGTATGAAACGACACGTGTGGTGCACTGCCTCAAGAGCTGAAGCAACCGTATCCGAAGCCAACTGAATAGCGATGGCCAAAGCGGAGTTACAGGACTCAAGCGCACCCAAATTTCAGTGGGAAATAGATCTGCTTCGTCACCGGAGGATCCGGACGTCTGTTTTTGCCCCCGTTGCCAGTCACCAGCAGAATTCCAGATAATTTAGATGACGACTTTGCCTTTTAGTTTTATCCTGCATGAATTTACTGAAAGCCTGGGAGTTAGTCCTGTTGAAATAAAACAAAGCCCGCCTGCATAGTGCGCATAATCGGCCTGTTAGTAGATACTCCTGTGGGAAATGTCAAATCCGCATGCACCAAGCACATAATCTACCTGTTAGTGTCCATCATTAGTGTTGATTAATACCGTTAAACTCTTTCTTTCGAAAAAGAATTCCAGCAAAAGTTCTGGTTTCGCTAGGGTGCTGTTGGAACTAGGGACAGGGAGGACTTTTCGATGCTCCGTCTGACTTGACTGCTTCAGTTTACGAGTCTGCTGTAAGTTGCTACCGCTGTTGAGGTGCGCTGAATGCAGACGAAGCGGCCAATTTGCCGCGTCCATGAGAGAATGCGATGAGAATTAGAGTATAGCACAAATAAAATAGCATTTGTAGAAGTGTCGACAGTTTTAGAATGAGACTTTCCAACTGCGTGCAAGAAAAGCTGACGCATCACCTAGGCCTACTCGGCCGACCCGTTGTTTCCTACTTTCGTGTTGAGTAAGGTTTACCGCAAGCGTTGTTTCAACCCACGTGATTAGTCGGGTGTTTTAGGGCTAGGTTCTCTCGGGAAAGCACAGTGCTTTCCAGTGTTGATCTCTTTTTGACCATAGCACACAATGCATCATTTCGACCCCAGCTGATTTCATGGTTTGACCTACAATCCAGAAGGAACTCGGTTCCTCTTAGCTGTTCCAGGACGTCTACATCTCTCTTCTCTGTCAAGCCTATAGGTCTCTTAAGGAAAACACGTTTGCTGTCTGAAGTTGGCAGAGCGAAATTAACTATCCGTTTTGTAGGTTTCGCTTGCACCCTCCGCTTACCTTGACTTTAGCTCCCACAGTCAGAGCTTAAGGCAGTCCTAGATTCTACGGAAGATGTCGTGGTCCTCTCTGAGCATATAGGCGTACTCATCCTTATTTTTCGAATCTAACTTGGCTTGCCTGCTTCACTAGTCAGGGGTTGCACCTTTGACCCTGGGTTCTTCTTGGTTTCTTGATCGTAGATAAGCCTGCGCTGTAAATGCTGCAGGTCAGGAAATTGGGAGAACCTTAAGCATGTTACCAGAGGGCCAACGGTGTATAAAGCTCCATGCTTCTATCGCCTCTTCTCGCAACTTCAAAGTTACCTATTTTAACCTATCTTTGGCGTCATTTGTGGGCGCAAATTTTACAATTGGGATCCTCGATCATCTCCTGTCCTGAGTTCGATCAGCCTTGCACATCTGTACTTAAGTTTTCCTCGTACTGTTAAGACCACAGTCCCCCATCCGTCGTTTGTATTTCATCCTCTTACCTACAGTTTGCCTTTTTTTAAAGAGTCAGCTATATCTAGCCGGGCGTATCCCACTATAGACCGTGGACATGTGCTGTCTATGCCGCTGATCGTTGACTGGGAACAACAGTTAGGAAGAGTTATGATTTAGGTACGGTTTGACGAAACGAAATTACCATGTCAATACCAATCTTCGAACCATATTGCAAATCACTTGAGTATTTCTCGAGCTTCTGGCCCTAACAGTAGCCTCGCACATGCAGTGGCGACCAGATCGTGTGCGGCATGTGTTGCCAGCCTGCCTGGTGCGCGCCCACCTCTGGTTGTCTCGACATTGTCTTGCCATCCGGAGCAAGGTGGGTGCAAAAGTGTTTTTCGAAAGTCTACCTAACTATAAACCACTTCACACCGCTGGGCTCTGGGTGGATGTCGTCGTTTGCGACGCTCGAACTGTCACTTCAAAACCGCATCATTCCCTTTGGTGTTTATCGCTTGCTGGTATCCATTTGTTCTCTGTCCCTCCCCCTCTAGACGTTGACCTGATGATTCTGCCCGGCCTGGCTTTCACTAAGGACGGAAGGCGTCTTGGTCGAGGTGGCGGTTACTACGATCGCTATCTGGCTGGACTGCGGGAGCTTCTGAGTCCACGGATGCCGTTCCTGCTTGCACTTGCCTATGAGGAGCAAGTCCTTCCAGAATTACCAACTTGTCTGCACGATTTCACAGTTGATAAGGTCTTTTACTCCTGATATGCTTCCAGAAAACGGAGAGTTGGTAGTAAGCTGGTACTGCGCAGGGCCAACCAGATTTGCCAGTTTTTGCAGCTGCCTCTTGCATTTTCAAAAGTTTTAAACATTCCTTTTTATCCGTATTGTGTCCATCTTCGTGCTGTTTATCTTCAGCACGCGACGTTTCAATATAACACTATACTAATGCGAATTTCAGACCTTCGAAATCTGTTTACAGCCTTCCGAGCGCTTGATACTTGGGGTCACCACTATCGTCTGTTTTGTCCCCACCGTGTCACTAGTATATAATTAGGATTCTTGATTGTACCCACGGCGAACGACTTGATTAATAAATTGTATCGATAAATAGCAATACCGTCGTAAAGACCACTTATGAACGGAGACAGCCCTCACACGACCAGAGATAAATACTCGAGTTTCAAGCACCATGTTAGGTGAGGAAAGACGCTGGCTGAGTGCCGGAGCCATCAATTTACTCGTCCGAGATTTTGGTTTCGCATGAAACCCTGTCGCCGGAAATTAGTAGTCCATGTCACGAGGTGAGACACGGTCAATCGACCACCGTTACACCTCCGCAGGGAATGTGGGGATGGCAGACCCATTGATCGCTTTCATTAGAATCTGAGTTTTCGCTCATCTTCGTCCGCTTTCGCGACTGGTCGGTCCTCTGACCTCATCGCCTAGGCAAGTTGCAAGACAAGTCGTCAGTCATCAGAGACCTTGTGTCGATCCTTACCTGCATTAGAAGGCGTTTATAGGCCGAAGTTTCTCCAGTGAAGGCATTCCCGGATAGACCTCCTACGTGAAGGTCAGAGGAAGAAGGGCGGTACCGACATGGATTTTAAAAGTGCGCTGGAAATAACACATACTCGTGGTCTCGGGCCCCCCAAGCGGCCACGTGGGGGATGCGCTGGACCATCACGGCGGCCATATCGGATTCTGGCAGGCGTTACCGGAATGCGCACTTTAAAAAATGTCAACATTCCAGGGTGAGGTTCGGTGGCAGACCCAGCTGACGGCGTTGGTCGCGCGCTTTTGGATCCCTGCGGCCCTCCCCATTGTTGTTGGCTAGAATCCTGGTCATTTGCTATGTGGGCCAGGGGGTGTGGAACAAGGCGCCAAGGTGCGGGCTCGATCGTGCTATCTAACTGCGCCCTCCCCCGCCTCCGGTCTTCTTGACTCTGTCTTGACACCGAGCCCAGGTGGGCGAGGAGAGTGTGGTAGATGCAGCGTAGGTCTACTATCATCATGAAACAATTCACGCGCAAGTCACCGTCCCCGCTCCACCGTGCTGCGGAGCACACGGTGGACATCGTCGGCAACAACGGTCGAACTGTCGCCAGGAGTCCCGGGAGGTTCTGACCGACGTGTCCTGATCTGGCCATTAGTTTGCGCTTCGCGAGACAATCACACACGGCTAAGCAAGAGGACTGTGGAGGCTTGCGGCTACGCCGAGGTTTGTGCTGCAGTTCTTCGCAGTGACCTGTCGCCTTCTTGGAGATCGATGTCGCTCTTGTCTGTGGGCGTGGTTGCTGTTTCGCAAACATAGGTCAGAAGGCCGTGCCCAACACTGATGCTAGCTGCGCAGTCTGGTTTTTGGTCATTTAAACAGCCTAATCAGAAGACAGGCTCATCCTCAAGATCCGGCAAGCCCCTTCGAACTTCCACTTGCCATTTTTGCTGGAACCTAACAGCTTATTCTACAGATCTCAATTTGCCTAGCTCCTAACTAGCCTTTTGGAAAATTGCTCGTTCCCCAAACAGCATTCGAGAAGCACAGATGTATAGTTGCCCAACACAAGAGATCGAGAGACGGCTGACTGTCTACGCCAAAATGCATATGCTTGTGTGAATGTGTGCATGTCGATCCAGGCGCCTCGGGGATATCTGTGTACACAGAAAATCGAAGGACAGGACCTTGATTTTTTGATCAACATCCGCAGTAGACGTGCTATCTCACGAAATGTTAACAAAAACCGGAAATGTGTCATCGGTTAGAAAAGATTACTGAAGTAGGGTTGTAAGACTAACTATTGCGCATCATAATCCCCAAATACTTCAGTCACGTCAGGATGCCGGTTCTTGGACGAGCTTCTTTCTGGCCGCTTGTAAAAACTGCGCTCTACAAAGAATGACTAACTCAGAAGCACGATTCTCTCCTATTGATTTATATGCATTTATACATTCAAACAGACCTTATCGAAAACATACACAGAAAATATTTTTTGCTTGTATTCGGTTGGTAGCAAATTACGTCTTCTTTAAGTTCGTACTTGAAGAATGGATATTTTCCGCTTTAAGAAAGATTTCTAATTATGGTATTTTTTAAGACCGCGGAATGTCCATTTATAAAACACTATCTGCACATGTATTAATTATGCCTATAAAGTATAAAACGTGGTCCACATCCACTACAAGATTTCATGACGTCCTCTTAGCAACAGATATCAATTTGCGATCTCACAGAGAAGATATACAGCTCGTGGTTTGGAAATGATGAATACAAGTGCAGCGGCAAGTCAGGTTCAGGAGTTGAGGTTTTTTTAAAATTGAAAGACGTTTTCTCCAAGTACGCAGTTTGGAGAGGGTGCAAGTTGCTACCAGCCGAATACAAGGAAAAATATTTCTGCGCATGTTTTCCATGAAATATGTTTGAATGTACAAAGGCATCTAAAATCAATAGGAGAGAGTCGTGCTTCTGTGGTAGCCATTCATTACGGTTCAGGCTTTAAAAACGGCCGGAAGAAAGCTCGTCCAGCAACCGGCATCTTGAGATGACTGGAATATTTTGTGATCATGCTGCCCCACCAGTAGTCGCTCAGTGGCCAGTATTGTACAGAATAACATTGCCGACAACTATAAATGGAACTGGAACGGCCATCTTCGGCCAATTAGCCGTCATCGGCCAGTCGTGCCCTATCCCAGGCTTTTACAACACCTGAGGCTCGAGCCAGCAACATGTTGGTTAGAAGTCCAACGCCCCAAATATTGGGCCACGGCAGTGTTATTCTGCCTATAATATTAGCCGCCGAGTGACTGCTGGTGGGGCTCGAGACTGAGCCTCGAGGCATAACGAGACGAGTTTGTTCCGTAAGGCAATCGGTGAGATCCCCTCAACCATTGTTTATAAACGCCATCGAAACCGACAGGACAACGAGTCCGTTCTCGAATATGATTACTTTCGTCATACCGTCAGTCCTTATGAGCCAGGTTTTGATCCGAATAGCAATATACCTGGGTCCTAGGTGCCAAACGTTCCCCTTAATTCGTGGAATTTATTCGCTGTGTTAACTGTGAATTCCAACATGTGAAGTGGCCAATTGGGGGATTAAGCGGTCAGCGTGGTTTAACACGACAAATAGGGGTCATATTTAATTGTCGGGAGCTGTAGTGAATGAGGTCAAATCGGAAACATGGAAGAAGCTAGACTCAAAATTTGTTGCCTGTCTGATGATATTTTGCCATACACGAAATAACAATGGACCTTCGTGGTTTTCAAAAAAGCCACTGATCAGGATTTCATGTATTATTAAAGAAGGGGAGATTAATGTTCAAATCTTTTTGAAAGGGGGCAAGTGAGAATGGAGACTGTTTCCCTTACGGTACCAAAGTTCAAGGAAACAGGCAGATTCTATTCGATGTGAAAGGTTCAAAAAATTTGAATAAGTACCCTACTAACTGCAGGGCATGGTTATGAGTGAGCTTCTGAACGGTTTCGGGAAAGAATTAAGTCTCGTGATGATCAGATAGAAGTTCTCATTTAGTCCAAGTATGCAACATCTGACGTAGTAACTGAAATGAACCTTCGCTACTGATTAGGCCGCTGTCCGGACTCCCGTAAATCCAACTTTAAAAAAAGCGAAAAGACTGAACTTTCAGATTCGTGTGCAAGTAAAAAGTCCGCCAAACTGTATGCCGTGATCGGGTGACCAACTTTCAGACATCATTCCCCAGTCCGAGATCGTTGATTAATTGTGCTCGGTGTGCCATCTTGTCAAAGGAGTCTAACTTGAAGGCACGCCGAATCTCTTCTCTCAACTGTTCGGTGGCAGAAGCCAAATTCTTCGTCTAGAAAGGTCGAGAAGGAAAACGCGAAAATGAACAGGCCAGTTCCTGTAGTTCTGCACGGTTGCTCCTTAAGACGGGAAAATGGAAACCAAAGAGAGTTTGAACGGCAAAAAGGCACCAGTCGCTCATTGGACGCGCAAGCTGGCATGGGAACACAGCACCTGTGCACAAAAGACACTGGAAGTCCTGGGTGCTGACAGCAAAAAGCAACTCCTTAGGAGATGTTGGGGTCAAAACACCTCCAGAAATCACTCATTTAAGCTGCTGGCTCTTTGAACCCCCATTTTCAGGGAAAACCAATTCTTGCACAATGTCTGTTTTATAAATGTGCAGAAATCTGTTCGTTCAACTGCAGCAGACTGGTCGGTCTTTCTAAACAGCACTGGAAAACTGCGTACACTTAAAGTTGTGTCCAAGTGCCATGTTGAAAATAGAGTCGTTTTCGATTTAACCGTTTTAAGGACAGATAATGTGCAGTTCGAACTTTAAGTTACGAAATACTGGAAAACGGGATCAGTGTATTTCTAGACCAGTGTTGGAATAAAAATATTAACAAAATACCGCAGGTTCCGAAGAATGCCCTATTGCATATATTGAGGCATCCCTGGCGGTTCTTCATAAAAGACTTCTGAATGTTTGGAAGTACACTAGAACAGGAACTCCCGTAAGACAGGCGGCTTTGTGCTAATTTCCGGAGAGACTGGAATCGGGCGATGCCTTCATAAATTCAAATACATATACTTTATAGAAAATCACGTTTTCTTCAAATTTAATATCCGAAGAAAAGGTATCTTTTGGTTTTAAAAAGGTTTTTCAGTTCACGAATAATTTGGGTCTCGATTTGCCATTGCAGTTGCGTTAAGGGATCTCAGTCTACGAGTTGCATACTTTCCGGGTAAGGAAAAACATACATTGTTTTGCGAATGGAGGCG